CGCCACATTTCATTCCATTGTTCCGATTCAATCAGTGAGAATGAGGCATAACTTGGTTCTGACAGTGACGTATAATTCAAGAATAATGACATCTCGATGTTGAATGCATGTCTCTCAGTTTTATCGCTATTGGAAAGAACGTTTTATCACTGTAAATAACTGTTTCGGCAATCTAGTGTTCAATTTATAATCATTCTTTACATTCTTTTCTCTCAAATATTCCAACAGATTCCAGAAGGTTTCAGTAAGCTGAAAATGCCAGCAAAAATGTGATAATCCATTTCACCAGGAGATGAAAATTGGACAATCTAACGTCACTTTTTCTCAATGGTGAGGTCATTCCATTTGGAACGGAGGTGAAATAACTTGGCATTGTCCTTGATAAAAAACTCACCTGGAAAGCTCACTTAGGAAAAGTTTTTCAAGAAGGCAAACTAGACTGTCCATATTGACATGTCGAAGGATTTGTGGTAAAACTTGGGGTTTAGGTCCCAAGTGATGATTGTCAAACCAATGATCACTTATGGTGCAATTGCCTGGTGGCCGAAGGCTTTACAGAAAACGGCTTAGGCGAAGCTCTCTGGCTTAAGAAGACAGGCTTGTCTGGCCATTAGTGGTGCCGTCAGTACCACATCGTCAGCGGACATGAAGATCTTTCTAGATCTACCTACTCTCCACATTTTTCTGGAGAGAGAGGCTAGATGGACTACATATAGACTTGTGCATATAGTCAATTGCACAAATCAATTTAATGCAGAGTGCAACAAACTGACTTTATGCCTCCAACTGCCAAATACGAACTGCCTTATAAAATACTGTTCCCGAGTAGAGAGGACTGGATCCTCCTCGAGAAGGAAATATTAAGAGCAGATAGTTGTTGGTTCACAGATAGATCAGAAACACCTTCCGGTTCTGGTGCACGTGTTTTAAGTCACAGACCCAGGACAGAGATATAAATCTGCCTAGAACATATGCAACTGTATTTCAATATGAAATTTACGCTATTGAATTGTGTGCGGAGAGATTGGAAGTATACAACCACATACACAAGTCAATAAAAATATTCTTGGATAGTCTAGCGGCGTTGGAAGATCTTGGCTCCTACCAAGCAACGTTCAAATTGGTAGCAAATTGCCAAAAACGACTCTCCCCAATTGTCTCTGGTCTGGATTCCTGGCCATACTAGCCTGGGTGCTGCAAGCAGCTTCATCGGACCAGAACCTGTCATTGGCATCGCTTCAGGCTTTGCCAAACAAATATTGAACACCTGGATGGCAAGCAGATTTATGGACTTCTGGTAGAATCTTCCAGGATCGGCTCACTCCCAGGCGTTCATTCACCCTTCGGAACTTGAAATCAAACAGTTGTTGGACTATAGTAGGGATGAACTACGATGTCTAACAGGCCTTCGTACAGGTCACTGCCATTTGAGTCATCATATGCAGGGGATCGGACATTCAAAAGACAATGTATGTCGCCTCTATTTGCACATACTTTGTGTCAGCCCCGCTGGGGAATAATCATATTTTCAGAGTTCGGCATAGCCGTACTCTTACCATCTGACCTGAAAGACCACTCACCATACAAACTAATCGGCTTCGTTAGGAAGCTGGGTTTATTTGTTTGAGTGTGAATAGGTGTGAGCCACAATAAACCCTCTCAGGTTGCGGTGGAGGGTCGAATAGATCCACTCACTTTGAATTCAACCTAACCCAACAGTGAGCTGAATGTTTTGTCCTCCAGACTAGCATTAAGACTCAATATCTCAGAAATGTCGCCTTTCACTTGGATATGGGAACCTTCATTACGGATGAGGGATAGAGAGCTATCACATCGAATATGTCTCTTGTCGCGTATGTCACGTTGTTCTGGGATATTCCGGAATTTTTCAGAATGTTCCATACTATTCCTGAATATTCCAAGATGTTTCAGAATATTTCCAATATTATTTCCCTTCATGGACAAGCTGAGGTGGTACTATGTCCGAAAACTGATATGTTCTGCCATCCATACAGAGCCGGATCGTGTTTCTAGTTGTAGATAAATGGGATGTAGTGAAAGATATTACCAACTTTTGATTTTTCTATGAAGAAATTATTTCCAAAAACAAACAATAATTATCCCAACAGCTTTTGTGAAGATGGCCACTTAGTTTTCATTTGAGAATATTCATGCCCTATTTCATTGATATCGAGCTTGGGAAAATTTTTCGAAAAAACCTTACAGAAGAGGTTGGTTTCATTTTTCGAAAGTTATGATATTTTATCGAGTAGACAATATGGTTTTCGTAAGGATAATTCAACGTCTGATGCAATTGCCAGATTGACAGGGCTGATAAATAATGAAATTGACAAAAAAATCCTTCTATCTGTGTCTTCATCGATCTGGCAAAAGGTTTGAACATCGTTGGCCATTCAAAGCTACTGACAGTGTTCTCAAATATTAGCATTAGAGGAGTTGCTCATAAATTATTTGAGAGTTATTTATGTAACAGGAAACAATGCTTCAATATCAATGAAGCTATGATCAGTTATCAAATGATTACATATGGAGTGCCTCAAGGTGCTGTTTTGGAACCAACTCTCTTCAGTCTTTATATCAGTTATCTTTTCAAACAAGATGCGTGTGAGGAAATTGTGAGTTTCGCGAACGACACTGCCGTTTCCTGCGAAGGAACTGACTGGACCACTCTCAAAAATAACATTGAGGTTGACTTTCAAAATATAATAAATATCTTCAACGACAGACTTCTGACAATCAATTATAAAAATACTGGAAATACAACATGATGACAGAACCCTTCTGAAAATAGAGTCCGTCAAATATAACAAAATTTCACCCCAAATTTTTGGATATTTCCAAACAGTTTTTTCCGTAAGTTGATTTGAAGTATTTTCAATAACTTGACGGAACAATATATTTACTTTTGGTAATAAACACACAAAAAAACTGACAAATGCAAAAACCATGCTTTTTGGTTTTATTGTTGAAATAATCCATTATAAAAAGAAGTGATGAATACAGACATGAAATAATTGGTCAATTAGAGAAATAAAAGAACAAAAAACCAAATTTTAATAAAAAATTGAAAATTACTATGCCACTGCAGAAACTGCATTGACGCGAATTGACAGTACCGGACTCACGACCGGTGCTGAACACATTCTCTACAACTCAATATTATGTGACTCATACAGAGCCAACTTTTACAAATTTTACAAAAATAACGAGTTTTTTTCTTTTTGCAGTACTTGTAGTGCCTTTTTTTGTTGGGTGGAGGGTCAGGTTTTTCTTCAGTGTCGATTCCAGTATGTTTAGCTATTGCATTTCGAATGTAGGAATGTTATCCTAATATAGTAGCTCTGGACTGCATATGGTATTTTATTAACTCCAAACCCAAATTCTTGATATATAATCTTCTCTGTTTACTATGATTCTGATTCGGGTGGTTGTGCCTGATAATTATGAATGCATTCATGCTAGCAATGTTCAAAATACCGTAAAACACAACTAAAGGCCATCGTTTCGTATTCCTTGCAACATTATAACTGGAGCTCATTTTATCCACAATATCGACTCCACATTAAGTAGTGTTATAAAATAAAATAACTTCTGTTTTACCAGTTATTGGATCGATTGTATCACTCTTATGGAACGAAGATGTCATCAGCACATTTTTTCTCTTTCTGGGCACATATGAAAATGCCATCATATGAACACCAAACCCAAAAATGGAGGAGCCTACAGGACGATTTCCAGTAACAATTATTCTCATAAAATAACAACCTCCTATAAACTCTTTCCGTTCGCCGCCAGATGACATCATTCAAATGAAATTACATATGTATACTTGACAGGTACGAAAGATGGCAGATCTCGATAAAAATTATTTCAAACATATCAAGGTTTATTATATTCTGCAGAAACTAACAGACCACCGTCGTGCATCGAGAGTTAATAGAAAATATCTAAAAGTACTGTACCATGCTTTGACCGGAAGCTATAGTTCCTATGGAATCACATGTATCACATGGAGCCTCGAAAATACTCATCAATCATCCACAGAAAATTCAAAAGTCAGATATTGGTTTTTGCGATTATCTTGAGGCTGTATAGACATAAATCGTCGTTGGTACCTATTCCGCACCATCACAACACAAGGCATTAAACCAACGCTGTGATACCCAGAACTGAAAAAACGAAAGGACAGAAATGTTACACTTTTTTGGGACCAAAACTATTTAATGAGCTACCGCCCAAACTCAAAACGATCAACTCATACGAAATGTTCAAGAAAAAGATCAGAACTTGACTATTCACTATTCCGTTATAACACTAGAAAGCTTCATAGCTGCAAGCAGTGAATGTTATAGATTTGCATGAGGTGTTGCTCATAATATAATCTGCAGATGTTCTTCTGATATAATTATTTTAATACGATTTTAGTACCAAAATTTTCCCTTAATCTGATAAAAAACTCAATATTTTGGAAATGTGAGTTGATTGAAGCTTTAACAATCATATTTCACTTGAAATTGTTTAGCCTTATGTTCCAATTTTAATCTGCTAGTATTCATAAATTTTACATTTATATATTTTTATATTCAAACGAAATTAGACAATATTTGTATTCAAATGATGTTCACGTTAGATGTTCAACCAAATATTGATTTGGTTTGTTAATGAATCGTTCAGATCCACTTCGTTTTATGTTTAAACAGATCAGGAGAACATTTGTATTTGGGATGATTGTTCACGTTTAATGTTTGGACAAAGAATTCATTTCCTTGTGGTTTTTTCTGTTTTATTTATTCTCTGATTGGTAGAATTGAGATATGTAATGTAATATTAGGAATAAAACATTATTATTATCATTGTTATTACTCCTTATTTATTCCATTGATCATGAGAAATAATCTGAAACACTTGTACTAATCCCTATTTACATAAAAAATCGGCTAATTTTATAAAACGTTCACAGCACATTCATATTGTTTCAGGTGGTCTAACTCTCCACCTAGCGGAACTCCGGATACCAGCCCACGCCATTCGAAACCAGAGCGCTAGATTGGAGTGCCACTTCGACTTGGATGGAGAGACACTGTACTCTGTCAAGTGGTATAAGGATGGCAATGAATTTTACCGTTATGTCCCGCGAGATATGCCACCAACGCAGACATTTCCGCTTCCTGGAGTTACAGTAGATGTGAGTTCTTGTTTATTTTATTGTTTTTTCTTTCGGAGATAACTTTGAAATTACAAAAGTGGTCATTCCTAATGAGGATGAGGAAATCCCAACCAGGATCCAAATCTGATTTTTTTGAAATATGTATACACAACTCATTCCAATCAAGTAAGAGCGATGACATATCTTATGAAGACGCCATCTATGGGATCGACAGAGAACTCAATCGTCGAAAATTAAAAATGAACGGGTAGCTTCAATGTATTCGGGCTCTATTCTACCACTTTCCATCTATTTCAAAACAGAATACACCACAAAGTTACTGTATAGTGATTTCAAATGAGACGAGTCACTCAGAACAAGTCAATTGATATTGAAATTGAGACACGAGTTGAAAACTATTGTATAGCGCTTTGAGCTTGTGATAAGTTATTTTACGATTATGACTTTGTCTTAGACGGGTGTTACCCGCTCAGTTTGGCATCAGTTCAGTCCATGACCTTGATCACGAATGAACTGAAGACACATTGATTGACCCATGAACGACATCACTCACTCGTCATAATTATGAATGATGGAATAATGTCGTTTATGAGTCAATCAGTTTGTCATCAGTTCATTCATGAACAAGGTCATGGACTGAACTGATGCCAAACTGAGCGTGTAACACCCGTCATAGTGTTAACCCAGAAGCAGACCCAGTAAGTTGAAGATATAAACGGATATGGCATATAAAATCATCTACCTGAGTAAAACTTTCTACACGAAACCATGTTTTTTTGAATACCCATTTATTCTTCTTCTGAATCGTTAGCAATTCGTTCATTTCACTACAGTTGCTATGGTGAACTGTACAATAATTGAGTGCGGGAAAAGCATATACATAGTATAGATTCATCAAAATATCCATCGTGAAAGTTCAGCGAAAATTCCAAATGACGATTGAGTACTCTATTCAAAACAAAATCACTCACACTAGACTCAATTGATCAAGAACAAGATAAAACTAATACGACAGTATTGGTTTTATTTAGTATTGTTACTAATACTACAGTATTAGTTTTATCTTGTTCGAGAATGTTTGTCAGTAACAATGTCAAAGTTCAAAATTTCGTCAAATTGAACGTTCATTCTTATTGTTGTTGAGTTTATTCCTGACTTATTGATTATTGAATTTTTAGTTCTACCTGTGAATGAACAAGTGAAGCAATTTCAACCGTGCTAACTGAAAATATAATGTGCCATATCAGTTTCTAAAATGGAAAAAGCGTAATTGGAATCTTTTGAAGAAATTATTCAGTTATTAAAGAGTTTAGACATTGAAATATACGAAAAAAGGGGTACTTCCCGAACAACTGCTATTATGAAAATTGAATCATATAGAAATAACTTTTTTCTATTCATTTTGTACCCCAAACTTCGTTATGGAACATCCGTAACATGTCCGTCATTGCCCATGTAGACCATGGAAAATCAACTCTTACCGACTCCCTTGTATCTAAAGCTAGTATTATTGCTGGAGCTGAAGTTGGAGAAACCCGATTTACTGATACCAGGAAAGATGAACAGGAACGTTAGAGACGGTCGGTCGATAGCCGGTCGGTTCGACGTGGGTGCTTTGTTCACTCACTCAAATCGACCGCCGTGTTGGTCGATTTTCACATGCTATCGTCCAACCCGTGTTGGGAATCACACGTTAAAAGGTGAGACCTCGTTAGTCCTTAGTTCACACAAGTTTAGGCTACTGAGAGTTGTCATTTTTAGGGGTGCGACAGCTGGTTAACGGAAAACAGATTTTTTTTAAACAGATTAGAACATGTAACGCTACACCATACGATGAGTGAAAGAGTTATGAAATAAAAATCCACTTACATCCTCAATGTCGTGCTCAAAATAGTTAAAGTACAAAGTGAATAGGTGAAAGTGATCCTGTTATAAGTCAACGTTCATATGAAAGTAGCTTGTAAAGTACTTTTTTTGCTGTTATCCAATGTTCATGTGATAGCAGTCATTCAAAGAGGGTTTTTTCCAGTTTGTGTCTAAAAGTAATTTTTATTCAAGCTTTGAAATAATCAATTTTGAACTGAATTGCTTTTTCTTCTGGAGAAGCTACAAAGTTTTTGTGTTGAGATGAAGCTTTAAATTCTCTATAATAAATCACTTCTGAGATCAAATGGACAGCAGTCATCAAATGTAATTCCTTCAAACATTTTATAGGTATATCTGTTTTGTGTATTCAAGGGCTGAACGTCAATCGTACATACAGTAGTTGTATTTGTCGAACAACAATGTGTTTATTGACTCTATTTTGATAAATCTCAATAAGCTGGCGTTTACACAAACTAAATCTGTTTGTGTGTGATGCCATGTAGACACAAAGCAAACATTAGATTTGAATGGAACCGTACCTGTGCATCTAAACAATTGGATGATTGATAGTATCACTTTGAAACAAAGGAATAGTAATTGAATTCGATTTCCAGATACATATTCAGAAGTTTTCTGGACGAAATTCCTTTAATTTTTTTTTAGTATATGAAAATTTAAACACATCGTCACTTATTTTTAAAGTACAAAGTGAATCTATTATTGTCTGATAAAAACAAGAATTGGCCGATACGCAAACGTTATAGCTACTTGCGAAGTATCTGTCATATAATAGTTTTTATAGGACAGCTACAGATATACCGAAATTTTGCCAATTCATTTCGTGTTCTATAAAACTGCTCTATGTACTGCTAAAATCTGTTGAAAATAAATCTGTAACAATCTTTTTGTCCGTTTACCAGCTGTTGCCCCCCCTACGATCGACAACTCTCAAAGTCGAAACTTGTCCGAGCTATGTACTAACGAGGTCTTTCTTTTCAACGTGTGATTCCTATTACGGGTTGCACAAACGTGATTCAAATATATTGGTGTCTAATATATTTTTGAGTGAAGTACCTAATGGAGAAGTAAACTTCATTGACTACATAATTCAGGAGACACAAAATTTCTAGGACTTCATATTGATTAATTTTCGAAATGGAACAAACAGATTGATTATACAGCTAACAAACTTAGCAAAATTTCGTATGGACTAAGGGTGGTTCACAAATATCTCAACAAAGAATCGGTGAAAATTTTATATTTTTCCAATTTTGAGTTAGTAGCTAGATATGGAATCATATTTTGGGGAAGCAATAGTGATATAAATGAAATATTTATAATTCAGAAAAAAGAAATCAAAATGATGAGTAATTTGAAGTATAATCAATCGTGTAGAAATGTCTTCAAGAATAACGGGATAATGACGATATATGCTCTTTATATTTATGAATGCTTAATGTTTGTATTTAGAAATAGGCATCTGTTCTTTAACAATATCAATCAACATTCCTATGGAACAAGAAGAAATGATTTCGTGCTCCCTATACATAGGTTAACCACAATAGAAAAAACTCCTCATTACATGTCAATGAAGCTATACAATAAATTGCCTGATCGAATCAAAGATTTGAGGAGTATAAAGAAATCTAAGAGAGAAATAAAAAAATATTTAATAGATTTAGAACCATTTAGTGTTGATGACTTTTTAGACCAAACCGAATTAAAGAAATGTATATATTTATGAGTATATGTAGTCTTTTTCTTTTTTTTGTTGTTGACATTATTTCATTGTATGTTGTCTGTGTACAAACTTTAATAGTCGGCATATTTTTGTAATGAAGAGTATTATTATTATTATTATTATTTTTCACCGTAGTGTGCGCTGGTCAGGCCCTATGCCCCGAAGCCCCGATGCATTCGGGAAGGCGCGCCAGCATTATCAACCAATGACCACCCCCCACACCGTGGGGTAAGTGATCATTGGGTCCGAGAATCATGTGCGCTGAGCAAGAGCAATCAACATTCGTTTTGGCGTATTCAAGATATCATCGAAGAAGGTACTATCCATAGAGTCTCATGAGATATTTACCAACTGCAGGTTCTACATCACCTCGAGATATTATCTGCACCGACTCAAAATTATTACGAATCAAGTCACTGCTCTCAGAACTAATTATTTTTTGTTTCATCTCTGATGAAAGATATGAAAATGCCTTGTTTTCTCTATCGAAGAATCCATAAGGAAATTCACTTACGCTCGTGGACACAAACACCGTGATTAGGGAAAATTCAGAACAGCCTAAAACACGTTCTCCCTTGCATCCATCAATTTCTAACTCCCGCAACCACACACGATCGAACGTCGTAGTCCTCCAAATTAGTATACTTTCTGTATCCTTGCGCATCGTAGAAAGCGTCCTCAGGATGGCACGACACCATTAGAGATTCAGCAGAAATTTTATTGCTGACTGAAATAGATCAAATTGCGAACGGTTTCCCTTCCTATAAACATGAAACTTGGCATTCGTGTTCGCTGGCATATAAAGTTGACGACGACGACCCAGAACTGCAAACAATGCCTGGAGAAGCTCGCGTCCTATTGAAAGGTCGCAGTAAAGAAACTCACCTACATGCTTATCGATATAGGAAAGGGACTCAGACTGAAACTTACAAAAAGATTCCATCACAGAAGCGGTTGAAGAAAATATAATAGCTGTAACGGAAAGGCAAATGATAATCTGAACTTTATTCTGACTGTTTATGAGCAGAATCAGAATGAACTTGTTTCATGCTATGGAAAATGATACTGGTTTGCTTATAGACTGATCGAGTTAGGGGTATATTGAACTTATCAAGCCTTATTGGTCCCAAAATCACTTTATATTTGCAGAATGATTCGAAAATCAAGAATTTGAATTGGCCGCGTGTCTGTTGACCAATTGAATAGATCGTGTCTAGAGCGGAGTTGCCAAGTGTCTTGATTTTCAATATCCAATCACATATCTTATGATCCAATTTGACAGACGCTATTTTTGTTATTATTGTTGTCATCTCGGTGTGAATACAACTGTTACAATTATATAAATACAGAACGTTTTTTTGTAAAACGTAAGTCTCGGAGGGTACCTATTTTGCTGCATATTCTGTGTCAT